TCTTCTTCTTCTTCTTCTTCTTCTTCTTCTTCTTCTTCTTCTTCTTCCTCCTCCTCCTCCTCCTCCTCCTCCTCCTCCTCCTCCTCCTTATACCCCATTCCCTAGTAGCATTGATGATGTTCTCTAGTTGGGTCATGAGATGTCTGCAAGCAAACAACCAAGCTCAGAGGACCCCACAGTTCAACCCTGAGCTACACCTAATGCTCTTCTATTGGGTATGACAATGACTTGCAAGCAAAGAGTTTCAGGGGTGCTCTTTGAGTTGGGGTGATCATCAGAGAGGCTACCTATTGGGTCACCAGATGTCTCCAAGCCAACCAGCCAGCTACACAACTTCTCTCTTTGCAAGCCTGGCATCCGAGGGGATAGCTTGGTCCCACATGGCGGAGTCCGGTTCCATCAAAAAACGTCCAAGGGTGTGAAAATTGCACCTGCCCTATGTTGGCCTGAGCCAGGTGCCAGGGTCCACACCTTGGCTGTCCATCCCAATCCTTCTTCTGGGGATTGACGCTGGCCATCCCAACCCGGTCAGTTTCCAATAAAATCTGGATGGCGTGCAACTCCAAAAATGATCACCGCTGTTGGAAAACCAAGAGTCCTTTATGCCTTCCATGCATAAAGCCTCTACACATCAAAGGTCTTCAAACTTGGCAAGTTTAAGACTGGGTGGACTTCAAAACTCCCAGCATTCCTGAGCTAACCTGACTGGAGGAAGAATTCTGGGAGTTGAAGTCCACAAGTCCTAAAGCTACCAAGTTTGAAGACCCCTGCTCTACATCAATGTTTCTGCAACTTGGTTGCTTTAAGAGGGGTGGACTTCAACTCCCACAATTCCACAGCAAACCAAGCCAGGCCAGGAAGCAAAACAAAGCTGGCCGGGGAATTCTGGGAGTTGAAGTCCATCTCTTAAAGCAGCCAAGTTGCACAAACGCTAGTCAAAAAATGGAAAGCTTGGACTGCAAACCACATTTCGAGGTGGATAGGCGCCCCCCTCTCCACAACCAAGAGAGCGACGGTGCTGGGTGAAGGGGGGTGGGGGGCAAGCTCTAGTCTAGCTCCGCCTCTTCATCCGCGCACGCCTCCAAACACGGCTTGCAGCGGTGCCAGCTGGATAGTCCATTTAAAGTTGTGCGCATGCGCCGCTTGCCGGTGCCGAGCGGAGAGAGAAAGAGAGAGAGAGAGAAGGCGAAGAGGAAGAGCAGAGCGGCCCTTCGGAAGGCTTTTCCGGAGGCCTGGGAGGACCCTCGCGCTGCCTGCGAATGACGCAATCGCGGAAGGGGCGGGGCGGAGCTTGCTTCCGTTGGTCGTGCTCTCTGGAAGGAGAGTTCGCGGGATCGAATCCCGCCTGGCGGCGAGCGAGGCTGGGTTGGGTAAGCACCGAGGGGCGGGGACGACCTCCGAGCGGGGTCTTTTCTCTGTCCATCGGCCCTTCTTTCCCACCCTGGTCCTCGTTCCCGAGAATGAAACCGATGTTCATTTAAAAAAAAAAAAAAGCAGTCCCCTGGGCATGTGCAAAGTGCATTTAAGCCCAGCTCTGGGGGGGGGACAGTCTCCTCCCCCTCCCCCATTGGAATCCTCTCTGTTCTTCCTACCCCTGCAAGGAAAGGTCGGGACTACCGTTCCCATCCTGGCTGGGGATGATGGGTGTTGCAGCAACAGCCCTCTTGGGGGAGGTGAGTCAAGCTGGTGGCGGCCTCCAGCATCCCTCCAGGATGGGGTGGCTGCACATCAGGCTTGGGTCAAGAGCCTGGTTTTTTTAATGACCTGCTTGGCAGTGGCTGTTGAGCAAATCATTGCAGCCGTTAAGTGAACAGCATGGTCATTAAATGAACTTGGCTTCCTCCCTATTGACTTTGCTCATCCGGAAGCTGGCTAGGAAAGTGGCGGATGATGCCTGAGATGCTGCAAACTGTTGTAAATCCATCCCGGTTGCCTAGCAACCAACATTTTGCCTCCTGGGGAGTTTATGTGACGGTTGTAAGTCCGAGGAGCCACTTCCTTCGGTGTCCGGGTCCCTTGGAATAGCCACTCAACAGATGGTTGTAAGTAGAGGACTACCCCGGGTTGCCAGGAGGTCTCCGATCTGGGCAACTTTGAAGGGGCTTGAACTTCAACGCCCAGAATTCTCCAGAAAGCATGGCTGGCTGGCTGGGGGATTCTGGGAGTTGGAGTCCACAAGTCTTAAAATGGCCGAGGTTGGAGACCCTGGCTGCATTACATGCATCCGTGCCCTTATTTGGGGAGTGGATGATGTGTCTAAGTGCCCTCTCTTTGGCCCCGTCCCCCCAGCCCGCCTGTCCTGAGCTGTTGTGGTTCACCGGTAGCCGGTGCAGACGGCAGTGAGGAAGCAAGGGGACCAGTCAGGGAGTCCGGAGACGACTCGGACGAGGGTCCTGCGTTCGATGCAGAGATGGGGCCAGGACCATCTGGGAGTGGGGTGCTGCCTTCAGAGCCTCTGGAGTCTGGCAGCAACGAGGAAGAGGAAACAGGGGGGCCTGTTCCCAGTGTGCACATGCACAGAGCTGCTAGAAGGCAAGAGCAGCTGGAAAAATAAGGGGCGACTCAGGAGTAAGGCTGGGAGGTGATTGCCCCTCCCATAAGGGATAAAAGTCAGGCCAAGATGACAAAACCTTTGCAGGAAGCAAAGTCGTTCGATCGGTTCATTCGTGAAGCTCTTTGTCCTTCGGTTGGTTTCTTTTCTAGTTCATTTGCTGCTTCTGTTTTTGGTAGCACTTCACAGAACTGAAAGGTGGGTGCTTATCTTGAGGGACTGTTTGAGATTCATTACTGTCTGGGAATGGAAACAATTCTCAGCGTTGCAATAAAATAAGATTTTGCTTTTAAAACAAGTTTGTGTTGAATTACGTTTGACGAAGCCTGGGTCAGAACAGAGCAAAGCTGACCCTCTCCGTCCTCCTTCCTCCCTCCCTTCAGGCTGACCCACAGGAAGAATGGAGGAGCTGAGCCAGGCGCTGGCCTGCAACTTTGTCGTCTCACAGGACCTGAACAGCCCTGCAGCTCCCCATCCACGCCTGGCCCAGTACAAGCCCAAATACAGCTCCCTGGAACAGGGCGAGCGACGCCGGCGGCTGCTGGAGTTCCAGAAGACGTAAGAGAGGGGCCCCCTGCCCCATTGTGGGAAGTGAGGAGGGGGGCTTTGAATGGCTCCTCTGGAGAGTCATAGGCTTATTTCCTGCATGGTTAGGAACGGAGAATTGTTATTTCTTTCCTTTTAAAAAGTGTAGCTATTTTAAAATGGTTTAAACAAAAATTTTAAAATGGCAGCTCACATTAAAAGCAACTATAGCAATAAATGCATGGTTGTGAAACTTCCTTCCTTCCTTCCTTATTCTCCCTCTTTCCTCTTTTCTCTCCTTCCTTCTTTCCTCCTCACTATCCTCCCTCCATTTTCCTTCTCTCCCTCTTTCCCCCTTTATCTTCCCTCCCTCCTTCTCTCCCTCCCTCCCTCCATTCTTTTTGCCTCACTATCCTCCCTCCATTTTCCTTCCCTCTCTCTTTCCTCCTTTCTCTCCTTCTTTCCTTCCATCCTTCCTCCTCACTATCCTGCCTCCATTTTCCTTCCCTCCCTCTTTTCTCCTTCCTTCCTTCCTTCCTTCTCTCCATCCACCTTTCTCCCTTTTTGGAGATCCATCATAACAGTCTTTAAGCGATCCGTCCTTAAGCAGACTTCCTACCTTCAAAAAAATTAAGCCCATTTTTCTTCTCAAGGCAACTTCTAAAGTGTTGAGCTCACCTTGTTACTTCTCCCTTTGAGGTATTTCTTCCCCTGTAGGGTTAAACTTTATTTTAGTTTTTTTTTTCTGTCTGTCAAGTAAGCGGCTGGACTATATAAACCATGCCAGAAGGCTGGCCGAGAACGACTGGACCTACACAGAGGAGGAGGAGGAGGAGAAGAAGGAGGAGGAGGGAGAAACATCCAAGGCTGATGGGGATCATGAAGAAATGGAGCTAGAGATTGTGAAGAAGCTACCCAAGCGATATGCCAACCAGGTAAGCAGCAGAAAACGGGGGTCAGTTTTTTAAAATCATTGTCATTTTATTTGTTAGTGGTCCAGCCCTTTGAATAAGGATCTAAGTAACAGGTTGGTGCAAAAGATCGGTGTTTTCAATATTTCTCTCGCTGATGGATTTTCATCAAAGTCAGTGGCACCTTCAGCTTCCCTAAAAAACTTAGGAAAGAGAAGTTGGGTTTTTACATCGGCCTCATTCAGTAAATCGAAACGGCCTCAAAATATTAAGCGGATAGAGGTATGAAACAGCAGGCAGGGTGGCCCAATTAAAAGAGTTCTAAAAACTTAACAAAGTTGTTTCTAGTTGTTACAGTTTTTTCTTCCCTTTAAAGTAACAAGTGCATTGAATCTTTTTTAAAAAAAAAAACAGCAAAAACAAAGAAACAGGAAATAAAATAAATTACATTAGAGCAAAAAGTGGAAAGTCTTAATTTTTGGATGTAATCCTATTTTCACATCCAGGTTATTTTTAATCTTTGGTTTGATACAATAAAACGGTTACTTTTTAAAAAAAGGAAAACTGTCTATTATTTTCCATACCCCCTTACAGAATACTGTGGCAACTTTGTGTTACATTATTCTTCAAACTTTAAAATAATGATAAGATCCTTCAGGGAAAAAGAAACATTGGTTGAAACATTTTCTGTGTGTATATAAAGGCAGCCATGAAAATAAATAATACTCAACTTGTGAAAATCATGGGAGTTTTTTCCATTCTAAATTCCTTCCTACCTAGAGACTTTTAAATGGTTTTCAGATACTCTAAATCCTAAAAAACACCAAGAAATGATTAGCTGCCAGGGTTACAGAATCCCTTTTTCAAAAATAGTTCACAGAAGAACGAAAGACCTAAAATTCTTGATAATTTTCCTTCCTGTTTTATTTCTGTTGATCAGATGTATAACCAAACTTCTCAACAAAATTATTCCTCATCCTAAAAAGGATCTTCCATTTCAGAAAAAAAATTCCTAGAGAGTTGATTTCCTATTGTTAATGTTTTGTCCATATATACGTGTTTTATTCAAAGCGTTAACAACAGTAGTAAGAAGTAAGACAAACTAAAGTAGAACAAGAAAGAAAAGGAGAAATAAAAGAAAACATTAAAGGCACAGAAAAGGAAAAAGGAAAGAAAATAAAAGTAGAAAGAAGAAAATGTTTAAAAATATGTAAAGAATTGGCTTCTGTTGTCTACACAGCAGTTATAAGTACAATTATATTTTAGCGGCTTTCTCTAAAGTTGCATGAGTCACTGATAAATTTAGATATTGTTGTTTCTCTGATCAAACAAGTCAGTCTGGCCATTTCCGCAGGTCCTGTCACCTTCATTACAGTATTGTTAATTATTTGGATGGCTTCAGTTGCTCAGCAAGGCCATCCTTATCACTCCCCAGAAAATTATCAAGCAGGCAACTAAATCTTCTCATTAAATCCAAGGTCCCTCTGTTGCACTTGTGGCTTCCTTTACATTCTCTCTCTCTTTTTTTTTACAGAGGCTGCCCAAGGCTGACTCTTTTCTCCTACTTATTCATTTCACCCTCTTACTTCTTAATAATTCATTCACTAGGTTTTATATTCTGCAAGGTGAAAAACAAGATGAGGAAAAAGACATCTAAGAGTTACAAAGAAAACCATGTCTGTGGTCAGCCCTCCAGGTCATGGTTGTCTCAAAGGTGCTTTTTTTTCCTGGTTTTTCCTTGAAGAGGTTTTGCTTCTCGTCCAAGAAGCCTCTTCAGTTCTGAAGGAAGATGTTTCGTGGATGAGAAATGAAACATTTTCAAGGAAAAACCAGAAAGTCCAGTTGCCTCTTGAAAAAAAGCACCCAGAGAAAACAACTGTCACCAAGGGGCTTTGAACTTCCCAGCACAAGCCAGAATGGGGTTTTAATTCACAGTAGGATCCATTTAAAAATTAAGCTTTGGTAGCTTATCTCATATTAGGGAGGTGGAAGGTAGTTTAAACTTTGGAAGAAGAGAGGAGCAGATGTTAAAAGTTCACTTCTATGGGTCCTGAAGATGACAGTCCAAAAAGGAGTTTGGGGCAGGTCTCTACCTTCTGGCAGTCTCTTCAATATCCAACTTTTGAGTTGACTCACGATGTTGGCTCAAGTTGATTGAGGGATGTTGACTCAGCAGTTGGGTTGGCCAGATCCTGGACCCAGTAGATGTCATGGGAAATGAGAATTTGTTGTAGAGTGTGCCATTGGCTCATCCGGTTGGGGGGATTTCAGATCTCCTTGGAGACTGGGGAGAACTGAAGATCTCGGGCATTCACAGCAAGCGCTCAAATCCTGACCTTCAACTTTGGTGTTTCTTCGTTTGGAGTCAAATGGTTCCTCTTCTCGTTCTGGATCTTTGGTGGGTTTCTCAAGGAGGTTGATGTGGTCTGCTTCCTCTTCTCTGCAGCTGATGCTTTCTGAGTGGCTGATTGATGTCCCACCAGATCTGGACCAGGAGTGGCTCTTTGTGGTGTGTCCTATAGGGAAGAGAGCTCTTGTGGTGGCCTCCAGGGTAAGGAACCAGGTGGACATCCAACCTGGTGTTGCGATGGAGGGTTAGACGGTCAATGGGAAACTCAGATTCAAGTTCCGTCTTTGTGGGTGACTTTGGGCTGGTCCCTCTCAAAGGTCAGAGCACTGTGTACATCAACTTGTGCTTCTAAGAAGCAGGAGGACCTACTTCTCTTCCCCTTCTTCTCCTTCTCCTCTTACTACTACTACTCTTCTTCCTTCTTTCTCCTCTTTTTTCGCCTTCTCCTTCTTTCTTCCCTTTTCTCTTCTTCTCCTCTACCTTCCTTTCCCTTCTTTCTTCCTTCTCCCCCTCTTCTCTCCTCCTTTTTCCCTTTTTTCTTCCTTTTCCTCTTCTCCTCCTCTTCCTCCTTCCTTCCCCCTTCCTTCCTTCTTCCTTCTCCTCCTTTCGCCTCCTCGTTTTCCTTTCTCCTTCTTCCTTTTCCTCTTCCTCCTCCCTTTCCCATTCTTCTTCCTTCTTTCTCCTTTTTTTCTTCCTCCTTTTCCTACTCTCATCCTCCTCTTCCTCCTTCCTTTCCCATTCTTCTTCCTTTTCCTACTCTCCTCCTCCTCCTCTTCCTCCTTCCTTTCCCATTCTTCCTTCTTTCTCCTTTTTTCCTTCTTCCTTTTCCTACTCTCCTCCTCCTCTTCCTCCTTCCTTTCCCATTCTTCTTCCTTCTTTCTCCTTTTTTCCTTCTTCCTTTTCCTACTCTCCTCCTCCTCCTCTTCTTCCTTCTTCCTTCCTTCGCTTATTCCTCCTTCTGCCTCTTCCCAAGCTTAAACCGAGATGCCCAGGTCAAGGGAATCCTTTGCCTTGAAAAGAAAAAAAAAACACACCACGTTCTTCTTTTCCTCTTTCATTTTGCGCACTTCTAGGGCACCACCTCGGCGTACACCAAAAGCGGTTTCTGTGTCAATCAGTTCCTTTCCCTTCTGCCTGGCGGGAACCGGCTTAATTCAGCAACGGGCAAAGGTGAGTTTCTTTTCTCCTCATCACCCTCACGACCATCGTCGTCGTTGTTCTTGGCAGGGACCAAAACAAAAACAGAAGCTTTTGCACAACCCCCTGATTTATGACACAGTCAGAGCTTGACACAAAGGCTAACCTCGGTTGGGGTTGCTTACAGAATACACCATCTTGGACTGCATCTACAACGAGGTCCAGCAGACGTACTACATCCTTGATGTGATGTGTTGGCGGGGACACCCTGTCTATGACTGCCAGGTAACTGTGGCCAAGCTCACCCCACTAGGTCAACTAGAGATGCCTCAGAGGTTCCTCCTCGACCTGGTTAGTGTTAGGCTTGTGAGTTGGGATGCTGGGTGTTCTTAGGATTCCATTGCTTCCATGAACCGCAGAAGCAAGGTTAAATTTGTGCTGCGTGAAGCTCTAATGGGATGTGCAATGACCTTGGGGGACGAAGTTTCACACCTCTTGGTCCCTTTTCTTCCCCTTCTCCAGACAGATTTCAGGTTCTACTGGCTACATTCCAAAATGGAAGAGGAGACGGACTTGTCGGAGAAAAGCAGACTTAACCCAGTGAGTCCTTTTTTTGATTTTATTTTGACCAAAATGTGCAAGCTGGTTGGATTAAAAGTGGGGCCACAATCATCATTAGAAGCTTGTCGGTTTAGGTCGGGGGTCAGCAACCCGTGGCTCAAGAGCCGCCTGTGGCGCTTTCATCCCTCTGCTACGGCTCCGTCGCTCAAAATATGTGTCACAATCGCCAATGTGCGACATCCGCTGGCATGTGATTTGTCGAGTTTTTCGATCCCCGGTAAGCCAACCATGGATAAATCCAAGAAATGAAAAGTTTTAGAAGAGAACAGAACCTTTAATTCAACTACATGTGCTAGTTTTGTGGCCGTTCAGTAAATAGTCAGGCACAGGAAAGGTTTTTGTGGCTCCCGGTGTTTTCTGTGGGAAATGGGTCCAAATGGCTCTTTGAATGTTTAAGGTTGCTGACCCCTGGTTTAGGTGCATGTAAATTGGGTAGAATAGAATAGAATAGAATAGAATAGAATAGAATTTAGAATAGAATTTAGAATAGAATTTAGAATAGAATTTAGAATAGAATAGAATAGAATTAGAATTGAATTGAATTGAATTGAATTGAATTCTTTATCGGCCAAGTGTGATTAGACCCACAAGGAATTTGTCTTGGTGCAAATGCTCTCAGTGAACATAACAGAAAAGATACGTTCATCAAGAGTCAAGAATAATAAGGTGCAACACTTAATAATAGTCATAGGGTACAATAAGCAATCAAATCATACTAGGAAACAGTCCATATAAATCGTTAGGATACAAGCGACAAAGTTACAGTCATTCAGTCACAAGTGGGAGGGGATGGGTGATAAGGAATGATGGGAAAATTAACAGTAATAGTAGTGCAGACTTTGTAAATAGTTGGACAGTGTTGAGGGAATTATTTGTTTAGCAGAGTGATGGCGTTCTTGGAAAAAACTGTCCTTGTGTCTAGTTGTTCTGGTGTGCAGGGCTCTACAGCGTCGTTTTGAGGGAAGGAGTTGAAACAGTTTATGTCCGGGATCTGAGGCGTCTGTAAATATTTTCACAGCCCTCTTTTTGACTCGTGCAGGATATACAGGTCCTCCATGGAAGGCAGGTTGATAGTAATTGTTTCTTCTGAAGTCCTAATTATCCCCTGAAGTCTCTGTCTGTCCTGTTGGGTTGCAGAACCAAACCAGACAGTTATAGAGGTGCAAATGACAGACTCCATCATTCCTCTGTAGAACTGGATCAGCAGCTCCTTGGGCAGTTTGAGCTTCCTGAGTTGGCGCAGAAAGAACCTTCTTTATGGTGCTTTTTTTGATGACGTTTTTGATGTCAGGTGTCTGTGTGTTGACTTCTTTGGCTTCTTTCTCAGTATAGGTTTGTGGGCCTCAAGAGCTACTCCTGCAATCCAGCCAGCCTGTGTGAGGTTCTGGCAATGACATTCCCCTTCGAGGTGAGTTGGCCTTGTTCCCATGAATGCATCTCAGTTTTAAATGGCTTTCACAACCAGGCTGGGTCTACAAGGGAGGGGGGGGCTACTCCTGCTGGGCTCCCCAACAAAGCAGAATTTATATTTAATAGTGCCCATCTTGACAGCAGCAAGAATTGTATTTCCACAATACTGGAAAAAATGAGGAAACCCCGAGAGAGGAAGATAGATAGATAGATAGATAGATAGATAGATAGATAGATAGATAGA